CCCTTTTTTTAGCCATAACAGTCCCAAGAGTATCAGCCTGAGATGAAACAGCTTCATCTGGAGGAAAAATATTCTAGGAGCAAGTTGATTCTTTGAGCCATCTTCAGAGTAAACAGTCAAACAACAGCAAAGGTTACACCATTTCCAAAGGAGAGAGCAAAAGTAGCATGTTCTTTCATTTGAATTCACGTGAATATGGAGCTAAGAAATCCTCAAGAGCTCCATTCCTGTCGATTTAAGCCTAGAACACATCCCCTATCAGTAAAGTGACGCTTGATGAAGAAACACAAGTACTCCCAGGAGCCCGAAAGGCATAGCAGTCTTAAAGAGTGAAGCAAGGGAAGAAGAAAATTCTCCCCTGGGGTATAGCACCTTAGCATAGGTGATCTGGGAATCCGAGATTTCATCATACTGTAAATTAATACTACAACAAGTAAAGGTCATAATGAGAGCTTTGTAACCATTAGCCTGGGACACAGTGATATGCAAATACAGTGATCATGCCGCTTTCAGAGCCAAGTTTCACAGTTGCACCTAAGCTAACAAACGGTGCCACGAGCACCAGCCAGGCTTATCTGCAATCCACATAACGCATTCACTGATAATACAAAACTGACTCTGAATGGAAATCAAGTAGAAAATTGCAACAAATTTCAGGTTTCTAAAAGGAAGCAGAGAGACTAGATCCATCTCACTGCTACATGAGTCAAGAAAAAGTGGAGCAATAACTGTGAGTAGCCTTTATGCCATCAGGAGGCCTCTGATGAGCTACACAGATGCTAAGACAACACTGAGCAAGAGACTCCTGTTTCCTGCCCCTGAGATACTCCTACACCTGGATTCCTGAGAACAAGTGTTTGAAAACCCCTGATGCTAGAAACATGTTCTAACTGGGCAAGCTACTGAGCATGAAGAGGTATGTTAGAGAGTTACTGGCCCCATTCGCACAACAGTTGCTCCTGTACACAAAACATACAGGGTAATCGGTCAACAGGGAAATCAGACCAGAGGAGAGGTACAAGTGGTTTTCATCCTGCCTATAAAATCCTACAAGCATCTTGCAGATTTAAATACATTGTGTAAGCAGACATCACATTAAACTGGGTATGCAGTTGATTCCAGGGTAATTGAGAATTGTTAACCTTGCCACCTACCCACCTAAAACAGACTGATAACGCTTCAGAGAGGATGTGATACACAACACTGGTTTCCAGGAAAAGCCCAGTTAGATGTATTTTAAACAAAGCCAAAACCCATCAGACTGCTTCCTGGAAATCAGTACTAGCAAAGTCTGTCCCTTTTCACCCTTTTGTGTTCCAACAGTGAGGGAATATTAGGTTTTCCTGGAATCATTAATTTCAATAGAAGGCTCTAACAAATTCCAAGGAATTTACCCGCTGTCAGAGACAGCCTCAATATAGACCCGTTGGAAAGTCTGCTCTTTCAATTAGCGTGGTCATTTTCAGTGTCTAGTTCTGAACAAACTAAGATCAAGATATTAAGTGACAATTTAAGGAAGGATTTGCACTACAGAAACAAATTGCCCTCCAAAACACGCAAAAACTGAAGGTGGCTTTTTTGTGTGTTTGTTTTTAATACTACATTTTGGACCTAAGTTTACGTTATGCTTTTAATTGTGATCACCTTCAGAAACACACCAGAAAATCCACATACTTCAATTCCATGAATTTCAGGACAAGTTAATTCAGACCTTTATGAAATACTTCTTCACACTATGTAATTTTGTTTTGCTCATAAAGCAGGTTGCCACACACTGTTCAGCTACACAACTACCCCCCACTGTCTTTGTCATAATTATCTAGTTGCCTCTTTAGAACTTACATAATAAAAACGTTGCTTTCCACACAGAGGTCACAAATCTGCCAGAGGTTACCCCAGGCAACCACGGGGCTCCTGTGATTCACATGTATTAATAAAAAAAACCCAAAAACCAAACAACAAAACAGCGTGAGTTTCAAGCCTTCTCTTTGCACTTGTATCCACACCGCCTTACCAAAACATGTTTGGGCTGTCAGCCAGCAGCTTGAGAGATTCAAATATTTTAAAATAATGAGAAACTGTTTCAAAACAAGTCATTGAGCATCCCCTCCTCCATCCCCACACCAAAATAAAACCTGGCTCCCACACTAGATACGCTACAACGTGCTCTCATCAATTCATCTGCAGGCAAATAAAGCTTAAAGCAGCAAAGTGTGAGGATAAGTACCGTATGTTCTAGACCTCATGGGATTACTTTTCTATTTGTCTAGTATCAGAAACAGCCATTCCAACCTAAGCACTAGAAACATGATTTGGGGAAGTACACTAGGCTGAGATTTCTTCAACACCAAAGCTTTTTTAAACAGGATTTCCTATTTCCATTTTTACGCTGTCTTTACTGGCACTTCTTACTAGCTCCATCCACAGACATGCTATGTACAAACCAAAACCAGAATACAAGCATCTCTTCCCTGCAAGCCCTGACCAACACACAAACTCAAAGAGTTTCAAGACATCTGTCTGGGAGGTATACTTGTTAAGCAAATGGATTTCAGAGTAAGATGTAATGCTAAATTAATTTATAAAAAATTTCAAGGCTACTTTCTTTCAGAACTAGGATAATCAGTTGATAACAAACTCTGTGCTTCAACACCCCCTGTGACAATCTGTACTGAGAGCCTAATATCAGTAGAGCATTCCCAAAGTAGACTACTGCCCAAGGTCTTCCTTTTGTACACTCCCATGTAAGAGTCGTGACTGCTCCCACAGAAAAGGGCTACTGTAAGCAGTCTTGTACACTACATACAGGACAAGCATTTCACAAAACCTGTGCAACAGGAACATAACTACTACAATATAGGGTAACTGCACCAACATTTCTGTTACCCCTTTATAATCCTCAAGAACCACGAGTACAGACCAATATTTAAACCTTTATTCTGACATCTTGATAGATTTCTGTAACTGTTTGACTATCCTCTTCTGTATCAACTTCTAGTTTATACACAGAAAAGTACAAGGGTGTCATGTTCTCAGGTAATATAAACCAGAGCAGCTCAAATGACATAAATTAACACAACAAATTTCAAGCTGAGATTTAGCCAGCAATCCTTATTTGGATATTATAACTGTTAAAAGGGATCCAAGATTTTTACTTCCAGATTACAGAAGTCAGTTTTGAAATACTGTAAATTTAAGCTCCTGTACTTTTAACCAGTATGAAATACCTATTCATCATTAAACTCCTATGAGAATGTTCCTATTTTGGAATTAAGTACCTTACTATGAATCACCTTAATTCTACCTCATGATGCTCACACAAAGAAGCTACTGCAAAGTAATCTTAGACATCAGTTAGTTTACTGCATTTTAGCTAATCTACCATAAGATGACACACACTTTGCTCCAGTGCTACCTCAAAAAGAAAACTCCAAAGAAGCCTTCCTTTTTTTTTTTTCCCCCTCTTTTCTCCCTCCCACACTCGATTATTTGTTTGCATTAGTGAGATGTCCTTCCCTCCACCCACTATTTTCTGCTAGCCAATTGATTGTGTTGCTGCACGAAGAAACAGAAACCGTCAACTGGAAAACAAACTCCCTTAACTTTTCATAAGCTAGACTGTTCCCCAAAGCAGCTGAGAAAAACAGAACTCCAATCAGCAAGAGTAAGCCAATCCACTCCACCTTTGGTGTAAAACTCACTGGTATTCACACTGTACTAAGAGGGCTCACACTAACAGTTAACAGGAAATAGCTTGTGAACTGCAAGTTTAAACAGCAGCTTTTCAAACAGTAATTAATTCCTGTGGGGAATAAAGGCCTCTAGAAATATTTTACAGCTACTCCAAACTGGGATTATCTATTCGAGACTAACTGCTGAAGCAGGCAAGACTTTTCACATGGTAACAGAAGCTTTTGTGAATAGGTCTTATGAATTAATTATTTTTAATTGCTATCAGTGAGTCAGGAGTCAGTGCCTCAGATTACTCACCAGCTGACCTGCTAGTCTTCTGGACTTCAGATTAATTTAGTCATCCAGCTTGTGATCTGGTTCTCATCCACAAGCTTTTCTTTGCAACTGCTTAAGCTAAAGAGAATTAGTAGCATGCTCCCAAATCAAAACACAGCCACCAGAGCAGCATCAGAAAGCCTCCCACTGCTGTCAAACTCAAACCAGATCCTTTGATGAGCATTTCTTTAGCTGCTGATGCTGGCATATGCAGTCTCTCTCCCCCAAACCCCCGTTTCTGTAGCTAGGGCACCTCTCAGCATGTTGCTATAGTTGTTGATGCAGCTTTGCAGTGAACCAGATGAGGGAACTTCTCTGCCAAAAAATATCCCAACTAAAAGAAACATTATTTTGTTTAATGACACAGCAGAACTAGCATAATATCTGAGGCATTCAGAAGACAAGGACGATAATAGAAAACTTTGAACAACACTCTGCCCCAAAGAAATGCTCAAGCTACAGCCCCAGCCCCATCATTTCCCAGTGTTTACCTTTTGTTCTTCTCTTTCTGTTGCATTTTGACACTTCTCAATCTTCCACTGCCGCATGAAATCTCGCAGATACCCAAAGAGAGTGAGAACACCATAGCCTACGTAGGTCAGCACAGCAACCAGCATCGGTGTTTCTTCAAAAGCTTCATTGAAAGGCCTTTTGTATAATCCTCCATTGTGCACAATATGATTTATCTGCAGTAAAAATTTAAAGACAGGCAGTTGTGAGACATTAGTTCAAGAAACAACAGACAGGCAGTTCAGAGTAAGCCCTGGCCCTCCAATTAGCTATAAGCTCTGCATCCCTCTTGCCCAGCTGAAAGTACTTCCAACCATTACTGAAAAATATTGTCAGTCGCCATATATGAGGTTGCAAAGTTGCTGATAAAACCAAGTCACAGTTACCAATTTGGTGCAGTTTAATCTAACATCTCACTGAAGTTCTTTAGCTTGCGAAACTGCATCGAAAGCATTGCTTACATCCAGGCCAAGCAAAATGGAAAACTACCTTCCCCCTTCACCAAGAACTAGGTAGGCACAACTAACAGCACAGTGAGGCTTCCCAGGATCAATACAGGGGAAAACAAAATAGAAATTAAAAGCTTTATTGAGCTAAACAATGTATTCTCAGGATTATAAGAACTGAAAAAGTAACTGGAAAATATCAGGATAGACTCAACTTTGGAAGCTTGTATTAGTGTAACAAAACAAGCATAATCCATGTGTCTCCACAGCCAGCAGTCTAAAGACGGTGATGCAAACACTGTACTCATCCATGAGGTGGACATGACACCACAGACAAAAAAGTCATTGTACACACACTCTCAACATTGCATATATGTCAGCACACAGAACAAAGCAAGGCTTTCTGCACACTAAAAGTCATCTTGCTACATACCACCTCCTGAAGATAAGAGCTTGACTAGTTGTGTAATACATGTGCATCTCAAGTACAATTACTGTGCTACATAACATTTGTGACTATTACAGAAAAACTTAACAGCTACAAGGCAACGACTCACTTAATACTGAGGGGAAAAACATCATGATTTTAACTAGACCGCTTGTTGAAAGAATTAAGTTAAAGGTCAAATCTCAAAAGTCAATGTATCAAAACAGAAACCCAGCCATTAGATGCAAATTGCCATCTGTATTCCTACAAGTTATAGAATAGCTACATGTGGAAGAACACTAAGACATAAATCCCCTGTCTGTAGCACCAAAGCTGACAAGTCTTACTCACACAGATCACACAGGAAGGCGTCCAGGCGGGTCCTGAACGTCTCCAGAGAAGGAGACTCCACAACCTCCCTGGGCAGACAGAATATTAGGGATTGGAAGGGACCTCAAAGATCATCTAGTCCAATCCCCCTGCCGGAGCAGGAACACCTTGCAGAATACTCCTTGCAGAATAGCTTTGTTTTTGCCAGTACTCCTAGGCTTCAGAAAATTCCAACTTTTAAAGTAATCTAAACAGATTAAGATTGGCATACAATTCTGTAACTCTCTGGTATTCAGACATATTATGAAGGAAATTGCCAGATGTGCATGGGAACGGCTAGAAGACAAGAAGGAAACCAAGATAATACATCTCAATAAATGCCTATATTAATAATAACACCACACTGAAAAGAGGGCTAGGACAAGAGTGTATCTAGGATGTTGCTCAAAGTTCTCTGGACTGTATTCATGTTGCAGTTTATAGCCAGATACAATAAGAAATGTATTTTCTAAATATTCTAATAAAAGAAATATGAAACCTAGGAAAGAGGTTGATCCTAAACTCATGAAAAAAGGACAACAGCAAATAATTCATGAGGGGTGGTGGGGGCCAGCAGACAGAATAAAACCAGTTATTCACCTATGGCACTCATATTATCATATGGGAAAGGAAGCCAGAGTTGCACTAACCTCTGTTAACAGCTGATGAATCAATAAAAGCACGCACACTTGCTGGCCTCACAGATACTGCATTATTTGGAAAGCGACACTTGCTCATCTCAGACATTGGAGCAAGGCTGTGTTTCAAGCCTGGCTTTAATATCTCAAAAGTAGTTTTTCAGAAGGGTCTTCTTGCAGTCATTGAGTATAAACTGCACCACCACCTTCCTCCTGATACCCATTTCTACCTCTCCCCTTTTGCCAACACAGACATCCAGACAGCTGCAGAGCAAAACCAAGTTTCAACCTGAGTAATTCCTTGATTTGGTCTCTGTAGTTGCAGGGACCTTAGAATTGGTGCAAATGTGTAAACAAAAGAGCAAAGACACAGTAGGAATTCTCCTTTAGCAGCAGTGCTTACACCAGATGCAGACAACTACTAACCTGCAGTGCTGTGAGGCCACGTTTAATACTGAAGTAGCTTTAAGAAGTGCTTAAGTTAGAAAACAGCCATGCTTTGGAGCAGGTATAGTTACAGGTGCAGGAACACCACATTGCAGCTCAGATGATGGCAATTTAAAGTTTCAGCAAAGGCCACAGGTCCATACACTGTTTTCTTCAAGAACAGTGTCAGCCAAAGGGACTGCCCCTGCCCCACTCATTCCCACTTTGAGCCATCTGTGGAGCCATCTGCGTTGCCCTCTGGCTTGTACAACTAAGGCTAATCTGATTTTCAGCACAACATCCCTCTAACACTGAACTGATTCAGGTTGGAAATATAATGGTTTGCAGAAGGTTATTTATTAGCCCTAATAGTCTTTACAGCACTGCTCCACAAATACATTCAATAGATCTCAGTAAACAAGAACCAGCAGCTGCTGGGAAGAGAGGAGGGGCAGGAGCAACATGACAATCAACAGACTCAATGAGCCAACGCCACGGAGGAAAAACCATGGAAGTTTTCTCTTCTCTATTACTCTCAAGATTGCTTAACTGTATCACTATGGCTCCAATTCATGAAACCATAGAATTTTACTGCATCCAGATCTGAGAAAAATCATGCACCAAGGCTCCAGTTACTACAATTTCACAGCTAGATGAATTAAAGATGAACCTTGTGTCCTCACGCTGACAGACCAGGCTGTGAACAGCAGCTATTCAGGAGCAGGCACATGACATACCTGCTACCTGTGGCTGTCTACTAGTAGCTGATTTCTGCACAAGCAGAAATAACATCAAAGCCTTTAATGTCTTTCTCAGCTACCTGGAAGCTCATCTGGAAGAGATGAAAGGCTACATCCTAAAGGTATGGATCTGAGGTTACCTAATACCAAAAAATAGCTCCTGGGGGAAAAACCAAACCAAACCAAACCAACCAACCACACAACCAACCCAAAACCTATATACAGCTTTAACCAGAATAAAAGCATATCAATTTTTCCAGGTCTTCAGAGGTGCCTCTGCTTGTGACAAAAGCTAAAACTAAACAAGTTATTCCACATGGTCAAAAAACAATATTTCACTGAGAAAGGCCTTTTTTGGGAATACCTATATTGATTCAACACATACCCAAATCAATTTTACCTCCCAGTGGTCTTCTGCCAATGTGCTTATACATCCTCACACCCTCATGTCAGCTACCACATAAGCTGAGAAGGTTCTATGCTATCCTATCCAACTTAAACATTAAGGAAACACTGAATGCAATTCCACTGACTTTTCATGAAGCATACTATGACTATAAATGCTCTCTAAAACTGCCTACAGAAGAGACACTCGTAGCCACATTTTAGATACAAGTCTACTCGTTTTTCCAAAATGCCTTATGAACCTGCATGCTAGCCTTCAAATGTAGGCTTACATGCTGTGAGCTCCAAGCCTGATGCCAAAGAGCAGCACGTTCAGTTCTAGAAACCAAGAAAGAAGGTGGGTACAGCTTAGTGATTCATTTCCTCTTCCGGGGGGAAAAAAAAAGGCATGAAAGATTAATGCTTTTATGGTTTCAACAAGTCTCACGATAATAAAGTGAGCCACGACCTTTGAACTAGAATATACAGCACATCTAAGAGGAGACTACAAAGAAAAGCCAGGGTTCACCTAAGTGTGTGGTTCAAAAAAGCAGCTGTATGCTTACCTACATCTCTCCTCCCTGTGCCCCCCAGACCACGTGTACACAGAAGAGTACCCTCACATTAAGAAACTCAACTGCAGGAGAAAAATCAGCGAGCACCACCCAGCTGGTTACAGAAAGCAGCGAAGAGATGGTGTTCTCAACCAGCCACAGGTAACACCTGTGTTGGGAAAAGCTCCTGGGGAAACAAATCCCACCAAACAGTATAGTCACAGTTACTGAGCAGCAGCATCTCACCACTACAGCTAGAAAGGACTGCGTTGGTCTAAGCAGAATACAACAGAGAGTCTGATTATGACAATCTCCCCAGCCTGGTAACAAACAGTTCCAATTCGCAAGACTTTACATTAGAAAACTGACTTCAGATTTAGTTCATCCCGCAAATAAGCAGTGTGAGAGCATGTCTAGTACAGGCAGAGCATGGGATTAGGGATGTACACACATGCAGCACAAACACACTCAACCTGACATTCTTGCCAAACTACTGCACAAAGTTATGCTTTAAAGACCACGTCGGCCTCCAGACAGCACCAGATCTTGCAGTGCTTTAAGGTCAGGTAGCACCAGAACGAGACTCCAGCTCCACAGACAGAAAACGTATTTCTGCCCGAGTTATTCAAATTCTTTAATGATATAAATGGAAAACATTTCACATAACACCCCTTTTGCAGTTACCTTAGCATGATGACAGCTCATCTGACATTAGGGACAGAATAGTGTAACCTACGCAAAAATAATTCTTACTCAGGCTCAGTGGGTGGCTTAAATTCACACTAGAATATATCCAATTGCATGCTTTATTCATTACAACTTCCACTATCCTACTAGATGTGAAGATAACTCCTTTATCAGAGCAATTGCAATTCATACAGAGCAGTTAGCAGTAACTTGCTTTTAGTAGTACCCTTCACTATTTTCCCTTTTCTAAATTTGGACAGTAGGATCTTCACAGAAGGACCACCATACCTGCCTCTGAAATGGATTTACACAGAAGGTAAAATAAACCCAGCAAACAGATACAGATTTCAGTGTTAATTATGCTTTCACTGCCAGCACACAAATCAGATGAACCTGGCAGACTTTAAGTAAACACCTTAAAAGGATTATTTATGCTGGAACACAACTTCACTAAATTCTTATTAAAATTCAGTAGCTTCTCACTGATATATGCCACATAAAC